TACTGAAGTTATGAAGCAAGAATCGAAATCACGAGTTTGTAAATTCATCTTTTTCTCATTAACTCTAAAACGTAAACAATAAAAACATTGACTTCCTGTTTCCTGTCTCAGTGGCTCAGAAGACGACCGAACAGGCTAACGTCGTGGCCGACACCGCTGTTTCTGGGGCCAATGAGGTTGCCCAGGCAACGGTGCAGGGGGTGGAGAATGCGGCAGCGGCAACCGGATTCGTTAGCACGGTGAATGACGTCAGCTTATTATCAATTTTACATATAAATGAGAACCGAGGCGTCTCGCTTTTATGTTGTTCTTATTTTATTTATATAACCTGTTTGTTTCCTCGTGTTACAGATAAAGGTTAAACTTGTATTACACAATTATTTATTATTACTTTGCACATTAACAAAATTACAAAAATATATTTCTAAACCAAATTTTGAAAGTTGTAACAGAATTCAAAAAAAGAGATTCACATAAAGCATTAGTTTCATTATATTCATACTGAGTCAAAGTTTGTTCAGCATTCATGCAGTAATTATTCACATAGTCTGTTTTTTGTGTATAACTTTTTTTTGTCCTTTGTCATTTCCAACTCTCTGGTTATTGGATGTGAACAGGAGGAGGCGGAGCCAGTGCCTGAGGAGGTGCCTGATTGGTTGAGGGGGAGGGGTGGCATGGCATGAAGCTTCTTGCCTGATTATCTGACATCGAGCAGCTTCACAAATCAGACATTTCAGATCAGAAAAGATTTCAGATTTTTTGGACATCAGTGTAGATAAAGTCCTCCTGCTGTCGCTGCGTATGAAGTTAAAACAGACAGATGAGGTCCTGGACAAGGAAAATAACAGAATAAGAAGCAAAAACACTGTAAACTTAAAAGAAAAGAAACCAGCAAATTTACAGTAAAACAACCAGCAGATATGTGAAATAAAACAAAAAAAATGTGGACAAAGAGCATATTTACAAGAAAAAAATGGAATCTAGAGAACTCTGAGTTAAATGTTTGACAGCCTTAATGGTCCGTCTCCGACCTTTCGTTTCTCCCTTAAAGCCGTCTCAGTATTTCCAGGTTTAATATGTATGTAAAGTATGGAAGCATCAGAGGGACTCGAACAGTAACCTCTGCTCCTACGACACGAGAAACTGCATGAAGGGTGTTTAAGCAGAAAAGAGGCTGAAAGCTGACGATGAATAACAACACTAACAGGAAACGGCTGCATGACACTGCTCTTTATTCTGTTAACAACTCACAACTCTGCACCCATGAAGACAATAACTACATGTAACTAATATATTTCCTGACGTATCGTATGTAGCCGTGTTTTCTTGAGGAGCAACAAAAACCAAAGTAGGAGCTGGAAATGATCACGATGATCTCAGCGGTTGTTTAACTAACACGACTTTTTCTTTCGCCTTTGCTCAACTTTGGCTTCGTCTTACTTTTCTGGATTTCTGAACGCTGTCGTTCTGATTGCTCCAAAGTTTCATTTCTCCCAAAAAATAAGCAGCTTAACTTCTATTTGCATCTATTTTACATCAGCGAACCTTTAAAGTGGTGTCTCAGAGTCAAACCACAAGCAGATTATTCATGTCATCAGTGTTGTGTTAATGGCTGCTGTTTTGGGGAGAAATGCAGCTTTGTCTATGGACACATGTGCTGCACTGACCTGTTTTCTCTCTGATTTGTAGACTGAGCTCCAAAAACCAAACGCAGGAGGAGAACAGACTGAAGAAGCTGCACAGTAGGTGAGAAAGACCATGAGAGAGTGGTGATGTTTCAGCTGCAGATGAATCTGCAGAGCTTTGGGGAAGCAGGATGATAA